ACTTTTGTCAATGATTTTTTTAGGTTTTTTTCGAATAACTTTGTTAATTTATATTGATGAATGGATTTTCTTTTGTTTATTATTATTAAAAAACAGTTCTAAACAAAACTGTATCATTACTTTTTTCTATTATGTCCTTGGACTTACGAGCTAGCAAAAATGGGGGGTGTATGTAGAGTTTTGTCGCTGACTGTATGTCACTAGAACAGTAATTTCACAGAACTGCAAAATATATAAGTCTTAATGAAATAAATTGAGTTTTTCAATGTCATCCAAAAATACCGCTTATGCATAATACTAGTGTTCCAAGATACTCAAGTACAGCTTCTATTATTCCTTATTATTTTTGTATCATCTCACAATCACAACTGCTGATTTAAAAAGGTAGCTCATTGCAAATTTAAAAAATGATTGCACTAATAAACTACACACATTTCATACCACATTTGTGTGTTGTCTAACGTCATCACCATTACTGACGCTGTGATCCAAAACCCCATTCTCACAAATTATGCCGTTAGTATAGTGTTGTATTGGTCCTTCATCACTCATGGTGGGTGCTCAACCATTCCTCAGTGTATAATGTGTACATTTTCTTTTCCATCATCTTCGTTCTGTGTTTACAATGCATTGCTTGACAAGGTCATTTCAGACAACCCATTTTGCAACACATTTCCTTCGTCCTGTTGTTTACATTTCTATTCTCCTCCATTTTCTCGTCGTCTTCTGTTTTGTTTACAAAGTGGAGAGCTTGTTTCCTTCGGAAAAAAGAAGAAATGCACAATCCTTGTATTTATATGCAGCTTATAAGACAGGACACGTGCTGTTGCATATCTTCACATCAAAGTGAGTATAACGTGTGCAAAGGCAGCTGAAATCTGTTTTTTATGATAATTTATTATGACGCCTTGGATACTTGCACTTTTCTGTATATATTTATTTATTCTTCATTTTCTTTATTGTGTGCAGTTGTCTTTCAAGTTCCGTTCCTACTTCTCCTTCCTAGAGGAATTCCTAGAGAAAAGCATACTTTTGTTATCCTATAAACAAGTTTTGAAGTCTTTTTAATTCAATTTTGTTTCACATAAAAATTTCAAACAAAAACTTTCACTTCGTTATTTAAAATTTAAATTTTCAGAATTGATTTAAAGATTTAAGAGAACTAATATTCTTGTCTCTTATTCCATTATTTAAAAATTTTACATTTTTATTTTATATATATTTGATTACTTCGTACGCAAGTAAACTAGTCTCTATCATTATATTTTAGTATTAATATAATTTAATATATCGGAATTCTGAGATGCAGCGAATATATTTGAATCATAAGATTCTCAATAGTATCTACAGAAGCAGTAACTGAATTTCGTACCTATGGTTGGTATTTTATTAACCAATAATTAGTTTTTAACAAGAGAATCCCACTTGAATCACATGTACCTTATGATCAAAAAAGAAAGAGAATTAAAAAAAAAAAGGCAAAATTTTATTTTTTCATAATTTTCTTTATTATCGCCTTCAAAGTACTCTCCTCCTGCGGTAATACATGTGTGCCAACGCTTGATCCAATTTTCCATACAATGTTTATAGATCGCCGAAGGTGTGGCCTTTAGTTCACACAGCGAATTCTCTTTTATGGTCTCAAAATGCGTTCCTCACAATGGCAGTTTGAGTCGGGGGAAGAGGAAAAAGTCACACGGCGCCATATCTGGAGAGTATAGTGCTTGGTTGATGATATTGGTGAAGTTTTTGGCCAAACACTGCGACACAACCAATGCTGTGTGAGCCGGTGCGTTATCTTGGTGTAAAATCCATGAGTTTTCCTTCCATTAATCTGGCCTTTTATTGTGAATGACCTCATGCAAACGATGTATAACGGCCAAATAATACTCATGACCGTTTGACCGTCCGGAAGGAATTCATAGTGCACCACACAACGCATATTAAAGAAAACAGTCACAAAACAGCATAACCTTGATTTTGGACCGACTTTGGCGTTCTCTTTTCGGTTTCGCCTCACCTTCGAAGCATCATTCGGTCGCTTGTTGTTTGATGGGCATGTCAAATGCATACATAGATAGACCCATGTCTCTTCTTTGTATAGACGCCAAACAAAAACTAATCGTACGATATTTGACAGAATGTATATAAAAGTGTTGCCAGCGTGAAAATAAAAAAAATTTACCAATTGGATAAGCGCCGGAATTCAAAAATTAAAACTGTCGTTCTTTTTTGATCACAAGGTATATGTACCCATATACATATATATATCCCAAGGACATATCATATAAAATATATATATGACATCATCGCCTCCCTAAATAGTGGAGCATAATTAATTCAATATTCAGTTGTTACTATATATCCAAAATCCAAAGTTCCCAAAATTTTATGTATGAAAGATACACCTAAAGTAGCTAGTTTGAAAAATAGCGCATTTCTAGGTATACAGGGTTAAGCGATTGAAGTGTTACCTATTTAAGTGACTATATCTTTTTTGTGTGAAATGAATTTTTTATTAATTCAATCACAAAATGTTGGAGAAATAATCAATATTTCAAAATCTATTCATTTTAGCTCGATGTTGATACCTTTTGCCTTGACTATGACCTTCAAATGGTTAAATAATGAGTTGTATGCTTCACAAATGTGATCTTCGGGTATTTAAGCCCACTCCTGAAGAATTGAACAATGGCTTTATTCAGCGCATCCATACTAAAACATGTTTTAGTCCTAGTCCGCACCTTGCTCTCCAAAATGGCCCAGATGGAATAATTCATTGGATAAATTATTCATTTTTATTGGATTCGATTCTGGCATCTGAGGAATTCAAAACTTATTAGATGAACGAATTAAATTGGGGAACATAATTTTTAACCATTCTTAGTTCACATGAGCTTTGTGAAACCGAGAACGGTGCCAAGTCTTATTGGAACATCTACGGATTATGACCGAAATGTTTGCGTGCCCACAGCTCTAAAACAACTTCCAAAACATTTTTCCGATAATAAGTCGTATTGAATTTAACAGCAGATTCTATGGAAATGATATGAAAGCGTCCATCGGCGGTCACAGCTGTTCATACCATTACTTGAAATAGAAAAGGAAAATTACTTTGGGTGGCCAATCATAGTCTCATTTGTAGTGTTTTTGGCAGTGCGTTCATTTAAGTAAACACGATTATTTTGGAAGATTTTGAACTGCTCTATGGGAAAATTTTTGTCAACAGAGAATACAATGTTTGGAAATTCGTTGCATTCATGCTAGTGCAAGCGTAACAATTCCTTTGCTCTTTTGAGTCCAACATTTTGTTGCTTTAGTATAAGATCTTATGCACTTTGGAATTTGTAAAGTTTTCTCTTGAGCATATTTTGAAATATGGGTCGAATGATTCGCTGGGATATTAGCAGTTCTGTGGTTACCACTTCGATGTGGATTTCGTTCAAGTTGAGCCTTAACTTTCCGAACCATATCAAGTAATGTTGTTGTGTTTTTCGTTCACCAACATATGATTTGGCAACGCTGTCTATACTATTATAATGATTTATGGTACGATATAGAAATAATATAGGTATTGATTTTGAGTTGTTTAGGTGTTTCAGCTCATGAACAATTGCTGGTTGTGATTTTCCAGCCAAATATAATGTAATCACACTATTAGATAGATAGATAGTTAGATATTTATGACTACAAAAGAAACATCATCTCGAAATGTGACCATAAAACTGTAATTGTGTGCCATACTCCGATCAGCCTGTGAATAATTTTCGTAGGATTGGGTTAAGTAGTAACCCACTTGTAGTAACATAATTGCACTGCATATCCTGAGATTTGGTTTGAAGGTGACAAAATAAATTTTAATTTGATTGTTAATTTTTTCTATTTTATTTAATTTTTTGTTTACTTTTCACCCAAACTGTATTTATTGTGTCTTTATCTAAATTTTCCTTCACATTAACCTGTGTTAATATAGAAGTAACCAGTATGTAATCTTCATTATTATATATGTTTTCATTACCACAAGCATTTGTTTATAGATTGACACTGTCAATATGTATTTCGCAAAATTTACTATAAATGCGCCTCTTATTATGACTTCTGAAGCGTAAAATTGGTTTAAATCTATTCCGCATAAAACCTAAATCCTTTCCAATTTTAAATGCAGGTGACCATAGCTACTGATCTGGGCAAAGTTGTGACGCGTCTGCAATTGGAACGGACCGAGGTGGCCTTTTACATATTCACAAACGGAAGCAAACTGCGGTGAGTAACGTTTCAATAAATTCAATGATTTGTCAATATGATGAAAATTTCACATTGCTTCCTCATATGTATATATGTATGTATATATTTATATTAGAATTATATCATAAAAGATATATGTATATATTTTTTTTGTGTAAATATGAATTTATGAGTTTTATTTTGATGTAAATTTTTCAAATGATGGTATTTTATGCAATTTGGGTTATGATTGTTGATATTTCCATTTCAATACGAATTTAAAGCTTTTATGGTAGGATTTTGTGGAAAATAAATGTGAATTTTATTACTCAATTAGCATCGTTTGAATACTGAAGCTTTAAATAAATTTTTAAAATTTATTAAAATATGGAATATATGTTAAACTAAGTTCGGAATATGTAAGATACTTATAACTTATCAAAAAGTGTTTCTCCTCATTTTATATTGAGATGTGTTTATCTCTTGAAAAATATGAAATATTTTTTCGAAGCTATCAGACCTCGTGAGATATATATTATTTTTTTTTTGTTTTTTGTTTTTATTTAAAAGATACCTTCTGCTCAAAAAGTATCCGGATTTTGTTGTTTGTTAACTATTCCTTAAGTAATAGACCTTTTCAAAAATTTGTTATGTTGGTGCACCCTTTCTCGACATATGCTACAAATTTGAGCGCCATCTGTCAATTAGTTTGTTTACAGCAGCTGTTAATGTGAGACTACCTCAAGTACATTTAGCGATTTTTGCTATGGAAAATTCTTGTTATACGCGATTTTTTGACCAAACACGGTACCACTGTCATCGCTCAGGCACCATATTCACCAGATCTGGCGCCGTGCGACTTTTTCCTGTTCCCGAAACTCAAATTGCCCCTTCGTAGTAAGCGTAAAAGCCATACCTTCACGGGCCTACGAAAAGTGTGTGGGTTAAGCGTTGGCATATGTGTATCGCTTTAGAAGGACCATATTTTGTAGGAGATAAAATAAATTTGGAATAAAATTTAAATTTGTGTGTTTTATTTACAAAATCCGAGTACTTTTTGAGCAGAAGCTATTATTTATAATAATATAAGTACATGCTTTATTTGACTACGACTAGTTCAAGTGCAGAGATTTATCAAGCAATTTTGTTATATATTATAAAACATTATGCAAATGTCCAGTTGCCAAAGGCGTAGTGCTAATTTAGTAGTAATCTAAAAGAAAGTCATTATTAAACTACTAATTCCGGAGTAGATCTGAAGTCACAATTCGTTTAAGCCTCCTTAGCAGCACAGATGTGATGAAGAGATGGTGGGCAGTCTCGTTGTAACTGTAATAACTCCATCTACATTTTCGGTTTTCAAGTCCCGATAGAGGTCAGTATTCCAAACGAACCACGGACATCGATTAGATTTCTTAGGACTTTGTTTTGGAAGTTTTAGATGATATGAATTGTCGATTTTGATGCACATCCCAATAACTGGACCTCATTTCTTAGGGCTTTGTTTTGGAAATTTTGGATGATTTGAATGGATGATATTGGCGCACATCCCAATTACTAAATTCTGCTTCGTCAACACTGGAGCGATGACTTCCTCGTATATCAATAATTTGTTGATTTCTTTATTAGCTAATATAAGTTTTTGGATTTAAATTCTAGCTCAACTCTTTCTTTTCCATATACAGTGCTCTTTCCATTTCAACTTTACATCTAAGTTCATGTTGAGGTACTTAGCTGTGTTTGAGCATGATTTTCGAACAGTGGATATATTTATATTTATCGGCAAATAATAGACTTTTAATTTAGTGAATATTACACAAAGGGATTTCGTTTTATTCAGCTCAATTTACCATTTAATACTCCAACTCATAATTTGATTAACAGTATGTGTTTCCAGTAGTAAGAATTGCGAAGTTCTCTTCAAAAGTTAATATGACTGTTGACGCTTTCTGGTAGGGCTTATAAATCAGTTGTTTAAATTAGGTAGAGAAATGGGCCAAGTATGCTTCCCTGCGGTATTCTGGCTTCAATTGTGTTAAGTGTTGAGTACGCACCACTAAATTTCATAATAAAATATCAGGAAGATAAGTACGATGAGATAATTTTGGATATCTGTCTCATAAACCACTCTTTTATCTTAGGCACGAATCCTTTGTGGCAGACTTTATCAAAGACTTTCGATACGTGAAGGAATACTGTAGTGCAAATTTTTTCCACTTCAAGCGCTATCTCGATTTTGTCGCACATTCTGCATAGTTGTTCTATAGCAGTATTTTTTTTTTTGAAACACTAACTGATGGCTTGTAACTAATTCTTTTTCTGTTCGAACAGGTTTAAATTATGATATCCCGCAATTAGTTGAAAGTAACAATGATTTTTGTAAAACAGTTTTTGATATAATGATAAGTAATAATTATGGTTTTGCTGGAATAAATATGGGTTTCAGTGAAGCAAAAAAAAAATAACTTGATTTCAATTACAGAGAACATAATGCAAGAATATCGGTAATTATCTATAAGTAACCATGACATCGATTGCTCGGTCGTTTATATATACTATGTGGAATATATAATTTTGTAATTTTTTTTTAATTGTAGTTGAAGAAAATTTTTAATTTTTATTAATTACTAATAAAAATAGCACTGAAAGTTATATATAATTTGAGCAATTAATTATATTTTTAAATATATAAAATATATTATTATTTGCTTTATAAGTAATTTGTCACTTTAGTAAAATAATAAATTTAATTAAAAAACCCATTTCAGTTCCAATTTGACACAACGTTTTGCTGTAACAGATCAGGCATTGAATAACATGACCACATGGAGTGAAATTAGTGTGCCTACATCACCAGAGGATGATGAGGATGAAGTTATGCTGAATCGTACCGAATTTCAAAATCGATTGAATGAATTCAGGTAAAATTGAAATGCTGTGTGAGTCTTTTTGATAAATGAACTTCACCAACTAATGTGATTTTTACACTCCCATAAATTGAGGCTGTTAAATTGTATATCTAATATTTAAATAGTATTTTAAATTTACTTATGTCACGAATTGATATTAAAATAATAATACTAGGGAAGAATATTTTATAATTTCCATTTGTGGATGTTTGTGTGCAGAATAATTAATTTGAATAGTTATGATATTGTGACAGTAAATTCGAATAAAACATAATTTTTAACCAACATTATGTGAAGTACACCACTAATTATGATATACTTAATAGGAATAAATATGATATTAAACCAGTTAATATAATTAAAATTCTCAAAAATATTGTTTAAAGCATATAATGAATTTGAGTTCCTTTAATATAAAAGGGATAGTGTGCGTTCCGAGCCTGAAGATAACTCAATGTCGGATGTAATGCAATGGTATACGTCAATTAATCGTGGTCTACTATATCATTTAACACAACAAATAAAGGAAACGGATAACAGCGCAGTTTGGCGGTATGTTTTGTATATAATTTTTCTTTAATTTATAGAATATTTTATAAAATGAAATATTTTATTTTATAGAATGAAAAACATAAAAAAAGATTTTTTGGTTCAGGAGACACAATGTTATTGAAAAAAGTTTTAGTAAAAAAATGGGTGAGCCTTACCATTTAAAAAATAACATTTTCCAATAGTTCTTAGTTCACTATGTTGTCCAAAACTTTCGTAGATTGATATCAGGAATAAATAGATTTTAGTTCAATTAAAAAATAAATCTGATGTCATGACCACGTTGATTTGATAACAGAATATAGTAGAGTCAACTATTTTGAGCTAACTTCTGTATTACGCTTTATGACGATATAGCTTATTTTTCGATAAATCGAGATTTATTTTTCTAAACTTTTTACATTGATGAGTTGATTAAGTTGAGTCATTACACACGCTATCTTTTCCTAAGTATATTCAATTTATCATTTGAGTTGGTGCACAATAGATCAAGCTGGTCACAGTGCATAAAGGCCTTTCCCTAACCCATAAACCATTACCATTCATTGAGTTCACAAAAGAAGTGTTACATAAAGGATATGCTCCATTTGTTTGTAGTACAATGAGAGTCTCCTGGAAATTAGAATGATGATCAAAATTTATATCGATATATGACAAATCATATCATATCATATTTGTCAATTCAGTCTCTTTTTAGAAATCATCAAAAATTTATATCGCAGTATATTTTGTAACTAGTAAGTAAAATAGTAAACTTAATTAATATAGTAACCATCTTAATTAATAGAGTAACCATGTAGACTAATTGAATGCAAAATTTTATGAAAAAAATGCAACATACAGAAGAAAAATATTAACATTTGTCACAGCAATAATATTAGTCTTCGAACTAAAGTAAGGTTTACAAGCACCAGTCTGCTCACTAGATTTAGATTTCTCTGAATTAAGAATGCTCTTTGACTCAAAAAGCTTTTTGATGGAAAACATTTTCATCAGATAAGGTGTTAGTGATTTCCATAGAGAGGAATTTTGTAGAATTTTTTCATAACTACCAAAGAGCTTGGATCTATGTTATATGTCAAGGGATTGTTGGAAACAGTGTTTGGACAATAGAAGCTAGAGCAAGAGCCGTAGCAAAGACACAAAAATAATATTAAATTTCATATTTGTTTACTTCAAATTCTGCCCAGACCTTGATTGCTTGATTAGAAGCAGGGTTCCGAAGCTCCTAAACTTCGTTTTGTCGTTCCTATTTCGTAAATTTAATGCACAACTTGTTATAGCAAGACTCATCACATCAGGACTATGGTGTAGCTTCAAACGATCTCTTCTTGAACCAAGGAATCATTTATTTTTTTTTTTTTGATCCATAAATAATATATATTGCTACCGTAATAATTTGATAATTTTCTGGTTTAGAGTTCACAATTTTATTTTTAATATTGATATTATAAATACTTAATAAATTATTTTTTTTCCCGATATATCTGTTTCACAGTTATTTAGTTGGTTTTAAAAATCTCTTGAAGAGTATTGAGTGCCAAAATATAGCTGCTTCATATGGTATTAAGTACTATGGTCGTGGGTATTTAGGTTTGGATGCGTTTGTCTCGTACGTACGTTATGAATTTCTGGCACGTGAACTGATTAATTCGACGCTCAACTATGTACCATCCTTAAAATGGATGTATACTGATATTACTGCCTCAGAAAATTATAAAAAAATGAAGTCTATGTAAGTGTATCGTAAATATTAAGTTCTACTTTAAATTTTATTAAACATTCTCGACGTTAGGAACTCCAAAATTTTAAAAAACGTTAGCGGTAAATCAGATGAACAAGATGCTATTGTTTATTACGATACTATGCACAACTTCACAGATGATCTACGGATTATACAAAAGGCTTTACGTTATAAAATTAAGTAAGTTGAATTGTCATATTTAACTGAGTTTAAATTATGTATAATCATTGCATTTATTTACAAAATATATAACAATTTATATATAAAAAGGGAATATGTAGATAAAACACTACATGAAGCTGCCAATAATGAAGCTGTGGGCATTGTCATCCTTGTCGTGGTACTATGTGTTTCGCCTGTCATAATTATATTGGTCAAAAATGCAGCTGCAACTATTCAGGTAAAATTCAATAATAAAATAATATAAAATAATAAATAATAAAGTCTTATAAATATCTCTCACAAATATAATTAACTATTACTAGATGTACGCCTTGAACTTAGCACAAAAAGCCAAGGAATTAAAAATTGAGAAATGTAAAAGTGACTCGCTACTCTATCAGATGCTTCCACCGAGTGTTGCTATGCAATTAAAATATACACAGGAGGTGGGTCATCTACCACTTTTTCCAGTGGCATTCGTCTAGGAATACTAAGGAATTTTTTTCATTTTTATTGCAGGTACGTGCTGAGCTTTACGAAGCGGTGACAGTCTATTTCAGTGACATTGTTGGATTCACAGTAATTGCTGCTAATTGCACGCCGCTGGAGGTATGAATCCCAAATATAAAAAAATTTCCTTTTATATACAATATTTTAAATATAGTTTTTTTTTATTAAATTTATTTTTTTGAAAATAATTTTAATCCCAAAGGTGGTGACTTTTTTGAATTCAATTTATCGTGTCTTTGATGAGCGTATTGAGTGTTATGATGTCTATAAAGTGGAAACTATTGGTGACTCATATATGGTTGCCTCAGGATTACCAGTCAAAAATGGTAAGTGAATTTTGTACTGAAGAATCTATTACATGAGAGGGTTGCGATGAGAATTATGCACCAAAATTTTAATTTTCAATAAAAAAGTTTTTAGATTATTTTTATTTTTAGGGTTATTGGCAAAAAATAATTAGAAATACTTTTTGAAAAATTGTATTACTTATTACATCGAATCTGCAATTAATAATATTGAATTTAAAGTTAGTAGAAGTACTTGATAGATGATAGATACGAACGCTAGTTCTTGAGATGTTACATTTGAGATGTTGAAAGTAGGCTTATTGTGTTACCGCAGTTTTACAGAACGTTTGAAATACGAAACTATCCTTATTCTAGACTGGGAATTAAATTATTTTGATGTTTTAATAACACATGCAATGTCTTTAATATGAAACAGAGACTGGGAATTCAATGACTATGCCATTTTAATAACACAGACAATGTCATTAATACGTAAACTTACATCATAAGTCATAGCATATCAATGAAAATATAATCCGGTTCCAATCAGTTTTTATAAATTACGTGGCTAGTTGGTTTAAAAATATCTCTCGTTTTTATATTTCTGATATATTGTTATACATTTCACAAATCCATTGTTATCCATTGCAGAACAGTTAGTCAGAGTTCAATTTCAATATTTCTTTAGTTTTTAAAACTGATAAACCGCAATAGTCAAATTCCGGTACTCTAATAATCGGAAGAAATAGTCTCAAACACAACTTTCATTAAAAAAAGTGTGTGTGAAGGACAGTTCTCTTCATTTCAACCTCGAACGTAAATATCAAAACTATAGCATATTTAATGTAACTCATAGTTAGGAAGTAAAAAGTCACACACTTTTATTAGGTGGCATTAAGTCTGGTAATGGAGTATCTTGAAAAGCTAAATATCTATGAAAATAATTATAGATATATCCTATGGGTTCTGGAAAACGTTAAAATTTCTGACAACGAGATTGCTGAAAAGGAGTGAACCATTTTGTGTTATAAGAAACTTCAGTGAGTACATTCTTCCCAATTACTCAGAAAGCTAGAAAAAACAGAGAAGACTTTATTAGGGTAAATTATCATATCATTGTAGAGGCTTTTACTTTTTAACGATTTAAGGATTGTGTGTAACTGAATAAAAAACATCAAAATTAATACAGGAATTTTGAGGGGATACTGTTTTTTTAACAAAAACGACAAAAAAAGATGATTTGAATAAAATTCTATATACAGTAATAAAATTCAATAATAATCTAGTGAGTAACATAGTTTATGAATTTTAGTGACCCCGACGACAGAGACTGTTGATAAACTTAATAATGTCTTTTATTTTTAAATACCAACGAAAGCCGACTGGAAGTACTGGACTAGTTTTCAGGCAATCGTTGGGCATAACCAGATATGATGAAACTGTTAAGTACCATCTTTGACTGGCGTTAGTTAACAGGAGCATGCCTAGTTAGGAAACAGGTGATTAATCTGATGTCGGATCTCATTTAGGCTAAGAATTCTGTCCTTCTTGTTATTGGCACAAATATTGTTATAGACTTAAATGAGGTGTTTAGATGCTTTTAGGTCTTAGAGTCGGCCTAGGTCTCAGTACTAAGCTTGTCAGGTATTTTATTGAATAAGTCGAATAAGTCTCAACCAGGTCCCCAGACGAACGTTGCTATTCGTAGTAGTCTATATGGGCTATATGGATTCTTGTTTGACATATCTCTTTTAATACACGATTTTGATAAAGTATTAATGGCAAGTTGCATCTGTTAAGTTTACACCACAAAGTAAAAAATCCAACATATTTCACTTAAATTTTATTCTTTATTACAATTGAGTTAACTATGTGATTTATTATATTATGAATTTTATGAAACTGTCATAAAAATAATTTTCTGTTATATTAAAAGTTTGAAATAAATTTCTGTTCATAGACATCCTCTATTTTTACTGTTAATTGAACATATTGTTTAAATCACACAAAAGCTTTTGCAGAAATTTATTTTTGAATCATTTAATTAAATTTTACATACATTATAAAGTGAAAAGTGTGAAAAATTTTCGTTCGAAACGCAATGGAATATAAATACCCGTCACCCACAAATCAGATGAACTTTGATAATATCGACGCAAGTGCTGCGGATATAAAAAGAAGGTTGGGGAATGATGAACTGTTAGCGAAGCGATATGAGTCTGCATTAAGATGTTTCGATGAAGCTATACTCATTTGTCCTACTGATCCTACATTATATTTGAGCCGCTCCGGTGCGTTTATGATGCTCTCCAATTATAAAGCTGCACTAAGTGATGCACTTACTGCAGTATATTTTAATTCCAAACTAAAATCAGCCTATGTCAGAGTAATAAATATAAGCATCGCTCTTGGCAACATCGGTACAGCTACTGCAGCAATAGAAAAATTAGCGGCACTTGATCCATATTCAGAAGCGCTCAATGTTGGAAGAATATTGATAGCAAACTTAAATAAATTGGAGCGGGAGATGGTAAAACACTACTACCTCCAATCGTTCGAGGATATCGTATATCTATGCAATCAAGTACTTTCAATTGCACCTGCTAACCTAAAATATAAGTTAAGAAAATGTGAAGCTCTCTTGCACTTAACTAAAATTAATGAAGCTGTTGATATCCTCGACAAACTAATTTTAAGTGAAGATGAAGCGCAACATCCATACCTTATTTATGTACTAGGGTTAAGATATTTCTACGAAGACAAAATAGATAGAGCAAAACAGTACTTCAGCGAAGCGATTGACTTAAATCTAGAAAGTAATAATATTTTGGAAATACATCGGGATTGCTGTAGAATAATATCGGCCGTGCAAGAAGGCTATAAACTAATAGAGGAGAGGCAGTATAATGAAGCATACGATATATACAGCCAAATAATTGATGAATTGCGACTCGGTCCTATAACAAAATGTAGGTTTCTTTGTCTACGTGCATATCTCGCTTGGACAACTAAAAAAATTGAACGTGCTATCGACGACTGCAGTTTAGTCTTGAATATAGACAAAACACATTTGGATGCACTACTGTTGCGTGCTGAATGCTTCGACACACTTGAAAAATATAAAGAATCTATTGATGATTACGAAGCAGCTTACCAATTAGATGGATCATGGCAAAATTGGAAAAAATTGTGTACAGCCAAAGGATTTCTAGCACAATCTAAGATCCCAACATTTTACGATATACTAAACGTTCACCAGTCTGCAACATATTCGGAAATTAAATCTGCTTACAAAAGGCATGCTATGGATCATCATCCTGATCGTCATCCACACGCGAGCTCTAAACAACTAAAGAGAGAAGAGGACAAGTTTAAGAAAATTCAGAAAGCTTACGAAACTCTGTCGGATGAAGTGGATAGAATGGAGTACGATGAGTATATTAAGCGTAGAAAAATTAATGAATCTCACAGTAGTTAAAATGGTTAAAACTGCACGCTATATTTAAATAAATCTAAAATCTTCTTTTTAATAATGTATATTATGTTGCGTGATCTATTAAGAAAAAATTATAAATAAAAAATTTTATTTTGATGAATAAGTTTCATTATTTTAATCGATTATCAGAGAAGACTTGAAACGATTTCTTATTGAACTTAAAGAAGTGTATCAATTCACATCACGTCCAGGAAAGTCAAAACATCATCCTATTAAGACCACATGATATTCTACATGTTTATCTTTAATTTCATTACAAATTGAAATTTGTCGTTTTTAAAATAAAGTAATATAGTCTCTATACTCTACCATCTAGATCAAATACCACACCAGAAAACAATTATTTTTCAACAGTTATTTGTACATTTGTACTGTCCTAGATAAATCAACTTCTTTACTGACATATCGCCCAACCAAAAAATACGCCAAATCTAGCGGATGGTCTGCAGATGTTCATCCATTATCACTGTTCTTGTATTATATTTTTTTTATTTTAAAATAACGGCTTCTAAGTATGTATATTATGAAATGGCAAATATTAGAATTATATACGTAATGCCTTTTATAATATTATTCAATATAAATAATTCCAATAATGCCGTTAAATCATAACGATGAACAAATTTATACAAAACACTATTCTTGTTTAGGTAGCAAATTTCATAGATGGATTACTAACTGGTTGTAGAATTAAAATACAACTCTCCGTTGTCCTGAGTCATGTCACTATTCGTGTACGTACCATATTCTTCTGTTTAAAAGATTACAAACTCAATTTCTATTTAACGCTATTTTAAAGCACTTTTCATCTAAAATAAAAGAAAATATATACCCACTTTCAATATGTGAATATGTATGTTATGGAGCTCTGTGGATATGAGCCGACTACATTAGTTAAGAACAGGTTGAAAATTAATTAACGAGTTAAGAACATGTTAATATGAGTTAAGAACGAATTAAAAATAGCTTGAAAATATGCTAAGAATGTGTTAAGAACGGTTTGAAAATGAGTTTAGAACGAGTCAGAATTATTTACTCATCAAGTTGAAGTTGAATGAGTTATCAACCAATGTTAGTTGCGAATAGATGCTTTCTTTAAGAAATGGGTAGACTTGAAAACTAATATAGAAAGTAATGCTCTACTAACATTTTAAATAGAAACTATTTCTCCGCTAATATTATGTTTATAAATAACATTGGTTGGCAATTCGTTTTAAGTCAGTTAATAACAATTTCACATCATTAAAATAATGATATTTCAACTCCTTATTTAATTAGAATATTTTAGTTTAATTAAAGAAACTCTTTTAAATTAATTTCAATATATATATGATACCATAACATCATTTGAATAACTTACTCTCAGAATTCAACAGAGCTCTTATTAGAAATTATCCAAGTGGTTACAGACAGTATTGAGTAAAAGTGCTTTAGACACTAACAAGCGTTTCACAAACCAAAGATAGAATATAGAATTAAGGGCAGATCTAATGTGTAGATAATAGTATTTATGTCTCTCAATAGATTTATTTATTTACATCAAATAATATCTTAAAATAATTTCAAACTAAGCTAAACTCTAAAACCTTATGTATATGTATATATTGAAGGCAGTAGAGATAATATTTTATAAACTATAATAAGATAATTATCAATACACATCGAGTGTTTTTATAGCTGCATGAGAACTTAAAATGATAATACAAGACAAAAATATTGTTGGAATAAAATTTTTCTTATTTCAATCTGGCAGATGACTTTACACAACCCCATTAAACGTAATCTAATAATCTGGCGTTAAATATCACGAACGAGGAAGCTAGTTAACAGGACCACTTCTGGAAATAAAATTGTTATCAAATTGATCTCGCAATAAATCGATTGTTAAGCGAGCTGTATGACAAGTTGCACCGTCTTGTTAAAACTAAATGCTAAATGTAGTCGATATTTAACTGATTTAATTTTTGGAAAACAATCATCAAAATTTAGTCAGCATGGCTCGATAGCGCTTTCATTTTTCGATATGCCATATGGTGGCATATCGACACTTCGGCGTCCTCTTCAACACTTCATGCTACAGCAGTAATATTCTCTTCGATACTCACATTTTTCTGTTTTGTTGATGGTTTTAAATCAAGAAGAATGAAATTAATGCAAAAACAATCATTAACTGGACGAATTGTTTGTTCACTAGCCTGATTATGTTGACTGTATAATGTAATGCTTTACGAACTTCGCGAACAGATTTATTTTTTTCAAAGTAAATTTCTACAATTTGGAAGCGTCGTTCTAGCGTTAAATGATTAATGATGAATTGCTTAACCTTATTGAACGAAAAAGTCAATACAGTTTGACATTCTCAGTTGTCAAAGCAGAGTTATGCGCGATGCAGACTATCATTTTTGAGTATCATTCAAGAGAGAAAATCAATCAATGGTAGTAAAAAATGATAGTCTGCACTTTAAATGACACGCAACCAACATGCTGTCGTGGTCACCCAAATTTTGGTGAGCACATCATTCAGCTTGTCGCCAACATGTTGTGAATGATAGTCTGTCACCCAAAAACTTGCAAGCATATTTTGCTTGGTTGCACAAACACACTTACAGCGTATGAAACACACTTATGTTATAGCGTGCGCAAACACCCTTACTTTAAAAATTTTGTTTGAATGCCAACTCCTGAATGAAGCATGTTCAAGTTCGGTTGCTAGAATAAATTTGAGCAAAAGAGAGTGCAACTTGAATGACATTCAAAAATAGTAGTCTGCACCGCGCTTTACCGATTTTCATAGTTCTCATGCAATTAAAGAAAAACTTGATATGGTGTAAAATGGAGTGTTTAAGTAATTTTAATCTAAAAGCAAGTAAATATTTTAATAAAGTCTAACTTAATGAAATTAAGTAGGCATCTTACAAATAATAAAGTTTAACAAATTACTAAATATTCATTTTAGAGTATCAAATAATATAGGAAACTAAGAACTAGATTCGCAGTCAAGGATTCGCGATGTGTTAGTTTTCATTAGACTAATTATAAGTGCAGTAATCTCTCTCAGACTCACTCTGTATTGAAGGCAAATTGTTTAACTTAATGACAATAAGGACATATATTTTATTTAGAAAATGTTAACTAATTTAGCTAAAATAAGCAAACCATAGATTTGCATACGAAAACTTTACACTTATTTCGTTGGACAGAAGAAGGTTGAATCTGTAAATCTGTGTTGATTAGTTGGAAAATCAACAAATGATGTATTGTCGATGCTGTCTGCCGAGGTTGATACTAAGCCTCTCTAAATACTAGCATTTACATAATTGTAATGTTATTGACCCCAACAATTTGTATGCAAAGCGTTTAATTCCATGTAAAATTACAGGACTAGACCCTTTTCAAAATTAGCTAGAGAACCTTTCTGACTGTCAAGTTCGAATACACTAATTTGATGTAATTCTACGCTTCGGTACAGGGAAATGAGACCATCTCCCTGGGCGTTTGTGTCGTACTTTAATTTTAAAATTTTTGTGCTATTTTATTATTTGATTGCATGCTTGTTTAAGGATTTTTCCATATCCATTATTTACACCATTTTTTACATGAATTCCATTTTTATCCTCACACACAGGAAACAAACACATCACCGAGATTGCAACAATGGCACTTGATTTACTTGATGCTTCAACGCGTTTTAAAATACCGCGTTCCATCGAAAGTTTGCAAATTCGCATTGGCGTGCACACTGGACCCGTGGTCGCTGGCATTGTTGGCACAAAAATGCCCCGTTACTGTCTGTTTGGTGACACAGTTAACACGGCCTCGCGCATGGAATCAACTGGTGATCCACACAAAATTCACATCACAAAAGAAATGAATGATGAGTTGGAAAAAGTGGGCGGCTTCAAGACCGAACCGCGTGGCATGATTGATGTCAAGGTAATTTCGTATGAAATAATTAATTAAATGCATTTTATAATAATTCTGTATAAAATTTC